CTGCTCATCCTTTGGCGTTGACAACTGTTCAGCGCTGTGCGAAACTTTCATAGACTTTTCTATCATAGTCATTGGTTCAGCTTCGTCTTCACTGCAGAGAGAATACGGAACATCGGCATCGCTCTGAAAACACAATCACAAAACCGCTAAAACTCGTATTGGTACCTCGACGGAGTCGGTTCTCTTTCTCAAATCATCGACAGCCTTAGTAGATGGAGATTCAATTACCGTGATGATCTCTGATGAAGCAGGCCCGTTCTCATAGAGGTTTTACGGTAATTACAATCTAACACAAATCGACATCCTTGCAAGCCTTTTATGGTGCTTCCTTGTTCTCAATGTCCTTCTTCAACTCCTTCTTAACTTTCTTCAACTCTTCCTCGCATTCGTGGTGAAGTGGAAGAAGCATCGTCCAGCAAAGAGTTCCAATGTTCACATCGAGCCATGCGTCGAGATCATCGTCTCCAACTTTCTCTCCTCCCTGAAAATATTTTATGAACACTGGAAACTCCTAGTTTGCTCTTACATCGACAAGTGCCTTGCAGACATCACAGAAAACTCCATGATGCTTTTTCAAGTTCAATGGATTTGTTTGTGGCGAAGCAAGGAATGGAGCAACAGCGAGAAGAACAAGGAAGAGGCAAGGTAGAAGACGTGCCATTCTAGAAGTAAAAAAACAGATTTGCCTCACAAAAATTGAAAAGGAAGCGGCTCTTCTATCGAGAGGTTGGAAATGCAATGATAAGGAAATTTCCCGATTCCACCAACTTCTTAAATAGACAAAGATCAAAGGACATCCTAGTATACACCCCTTCCCGTTCACACATCAGATGACATTTTTTATCTCGGAAGAGGTTTAGAGAGCTCCGATTCGGCTAGATTTTGTTATCAGTTGAGTGCGAGCACGCGATCGCTGATTTCTTGATTCACCGAACATAAAAATTGATAAAAAATTTCGCTGGTTTGAAATTTTCAAGTAGAGAATAGAGAAAATAATTTATGTTACAAGAGTCGAAAAAAAAGAAAATTAACCAAAAAAATCAACATGTTTTACGAGTTTTACAAACAATTGTTCTTCTCTTTCAACAAGTTTTCAGTGAATGGAGGTTTCGTTTTTGGTGAGAGCATCCCAAGCGATTTGTCGATATCTGTAAAAATGTATAATTCAGAAAGTACTAGATAAATAATGATAAATAAAAAACCAACCTCTTCAGCTGCTGCACCGGCTCACTCGACGATGTGACACCTCTTCCGACGATGATAATGTCGTTCTGTTGGATATCGATCGCCTGATCAACCCCTCTCCATTGCTGTCCGGTCGAATCAGTTTTAGCATCAAGATTGACGCCGGGAGTCCAATTCAAGAGATCCGAGCAAGCGGAAACCCTGGTTTGAGCGATAAATCCCGAAACGACGTCTCTGTTGTTATTGGCGATTTCTACGGCACTCTCTGTGTATCCCGGCAATGCGGTGAGTGATCCCTTGGTACTCAATTGGGCGATGAGAAGGACTCCAGACAGTCTGTAAGCTGGATCAAGTGCCAATTTTCGGAAGACTCCTCCGATGCTATCATTTCCTTGAACCGCATGAACTGTCACCACATCAGCCCAGCTCGCAATCTTTTGTGCTCCGCTCAACTGGAGAAGGTTCGTGTTTCCTGTGTCTCCAAACTTTCTGTCCTCGAAAATGATAAAGTTCATGTCATTGGCCATGGTCACCAGTTTCTTGGTGAACTCCTCGTTGAAATCGGTTATAGCATCGGCGTGCAACTTGATGGCCAAAACGAATGGACCAGCTAGCTCGACCATTTGAAGCACTTGGTCCACTGTGGTATAATCGATAGCAAGACACAAGTTGGATTTCTTGTTTTTCATCAAAGAAATAATCTTCTTGTTGAGTGGGGATTCGGTGAGCGATTCTCGTTCATTCAATGGAGTACGGGAACAATCGACATACGGGAGACTGTTCAAATCTTCAAGCTCCGTGTCAATCGACAACTTGAGGGGTGCCATGAAATTGAGGTTGAGTGCCTGGAAAATGAATTTTATTCTCTGAACTGTTTTAAAAAGATCTAACCACGAAGATATCATTCCACTGCTTCTCAGTGATGGCTCCAGTGGAATAGAGGAAAGTCAGAACTGTCTTCATGTCCAGAAGGCTGTGAAGGTTGACTCCTGCCTCATAAAGCTTATAAGCGCCTCCTTGCTCTCTATCGAGAATACAGAAGACATTGTTTGAGACCAGTGATTCCGCCTTCAAAGTTCCAAGGACTTCTAAAATACTTCCTCCAGTTGTCACAACGTCTTCAATAAGGACCAGTTGATCATCAGGCTGGTAGAGTCCCTCGATCAGCTTCTTCGTTCCATACGCTTTTGCTTCTTTTCGAACAATCAGAAGTGGTTTTTCGAGGAAATGACCAGCGGCGACGGATGCGTACGGTAGAGCAGCGTATGGGATTCCAAGAACACCTGAGTACTCCACGCCGCTCTTTTGGATCATCACTGACAACGCTTCCGAGATGAGCATCTGAAGAGTTGAGCTTTTTTGATAACTTTATTGATAAAAAACTCACCAGCAATTTTGGATGTGTGAAGCATTCGCGGAGATCAATGTAAATTGGGGAGATTTGGCCTGACTTGAGCTGGAACTCTCCAAATTTGAAAACTCCGGCTTTGAGCATCAGACGAAGCAGGTTTCTTTTCATGGCACCATTCCGATTGATTTCGGTGAGCGAGTTCATTTTTCGCTGAAACACAAAAAGAGACTAGTACGATGTTAAATGAATAAAGTGGTAAGAGAAAAGCTTTGAAAGTTACAAAGATAAGAATGAAGTTAACAACAGACAAAGGGGAATGAAGAAGCAACTGCAGTAGTGCGGTTTGATAACAAGTTTCGGAGCGAGTAGCAAAGCTGCAGACAAAGGAAATTGTTGATGAAACGAACTGAAAATCCAATATTGCTTTTGTCGACTTGTCCTATCGAATGCAGAGCTTGAATGGTGGCAAACAAATCGCTTTTCATTCGAATAGTTTAGATTTTCTTGATTTTGAGAATCGTAACTGGTTGCAATAGTGCGAATTTTTTCCAAACGACATGAGAAAAAAAACAAGAATTGAAAGCCGAAATCCTGTTCTGAAGAAGTTTGTTCAGAGTACGGTATCACTGGAGAGAACCTGCAAGCTCAATGATGTGAAGGAGAGACGCAGACAACGTTGCGTAACGTCTGATGTATTGTCTGTATTGTCTGCAATATTGTCTGCAGTTTGCCGCAATCACGACACATCGCGGGATATTTTAAAAAAAAACGTTTTCCGAATACATTCGCTCAAATGATAAACTTCAAACCAAATCACGGTCTCCCAAAGTGAAAATTTTTGAAAAAGTTCTCTCGTCGTCTGCAATCTAGTCAATTTTATTTTTTCACGCAACTCCCCTTTTTCTCTTCTTTTGGGCTAATAGAAGCTTATCACTAGAGTCATGGAAACCACAGAAAAGTACGAATTTAAGCTATATATTTTTAGAGAAAAATACTATTTGCGATGTTACTGAATCTTTCAGCTATCACCTGCACAAAATTTTGAAAAATTGGAGCATTTTGAGCAAAGTTATGAATCAATGAACGCCGTCTAGATCAAAACCGGTTTCATTTAACCGTACATAAGTCCATCAGGTTTTTGCGGAATCAGAAAAATAAAAACGTTATCAATACCGCAGAGACATTTGCTACAATTCCTTCGTCTTCGATTTTTGATTTAGGTTCTCATTTTCTTGAAAATCTTGAAAAAGTGTCAAAAATCGGGGGGTTTTTTTGGGAATTTTGTACTGAAATTTGTACCCTGCATAACTCTGCGAGTATCTAACAAATCATAATGATCAATAGACCAAAAGTTTCTTAATGGATTGCGTCAGGTTCGTCTGTCAGGTTCAACCGTCCGGTTCGTCCGTAAGGTCCGTCCGCCCGGTTCGTTCGTCAGGTTGGTCCGTCAGGTTTTTTCGTCAGGTTCGACCGTCAGGTTTTTTCGTCAGGTTCGACCGTCAGGTTTTTTCGTCAGGTTCGACCGTCGACCGCATGGAGTCGCCAAACGGACGAACCTCACGGGCGAACCTGACGGACGAACCTGACAAACTTGAAAAACTGATAAAAACTGATGAAAAAAATATTAAAAACTGATGAAAAACTGATGAAAATCTGAGGAAAAACTGATGAAAACTGTTTGAAACTGTATTAAAAACAACTTACTAAAAACTGATGAAAAGCAGACGGAAAACGGACGGAAAACGGACAAAATACCAATGAGACAATTCTAGCAAAAACGAAAAAAAGGTATTGAGATGTGATTACCTTGGATTACAGGCTTTCGGTATTTTATGCGAATTCTAGTCATTCGCTGTTTCCTCTCAGTTTTCATATGTTCCCAAATTTTTCCCCGAGTTTAGTTCCCCGAACCCAACTTTTTCTTTCCAACTCCAACTTCCTCCTTATCCTGCTCCTTCACCTCTTCGTTGTTCAGTGGTGCGTTTTCAAATTATGAGTGGATGACGCGACTGTGTGCTCCTCACCCAATGCTCTTTTTTTTTTATTTTTTGAGTCCAGGAAAAGACATAAGCAACACATACACTCACAATTTCCGCAATTTACTAAATTGAGTGTGGAGTGAGTGCGGTGCAACAAACGTGTGGAAAAAAGAAGACGAAACAGAAGTGAAACGGAAAAAGAAGATGAGGAAAAAACCCCCGACTCTTCTCTCTCCAGATGACAACCCGACACTTATTCGTTTTGACCTCCGAAAATTCGGTTTCGAGGGTTCGAAAATTAGTTTTCGTCATGGTCTATATTCAGAACTCTTCTTCTCTCACCGAGCACCAAAAACCCGAGTGATAGATCATTTTGTTTCGGTTCGATAGACACGAGCAGACCTTCTCTAATCCATTCCAGAAAGGTTTTTTTTCGTTCAAAGATCTTTGGTGTTTTTCTGAATTCCCAAAAAGCCTCTTTGAAAAAAGATTATCGCTTTTATTTAGGGGTAAATTGACCATTGTTTCAAGAGGTTTTAGTTAAGAGCGATGTCAAAGAGTGTTCATTGTGAAGGTTCACAATTCCGAGAAACCAAAAACGCATTATTATTAATGTTATTATTATTATTATTCGGAAGTTCCGAATCGGAACAGTCATTTTCCCAAAGCTCTCAATTTATAAAATTCTGGTTACTGTATTTTATAGTGCAAAAATCGGAGCTGTGGAAGAGGAACGATTGTGGTCGTAGCCGAAGATCCCACATCGAAAACTACCGTAACCTAAAAATATTTTTCTCCGGATTCATTACGTTCGTTTTCAGTAAATTAAAAAAAATATTTTTAGGTAGTCGGTAGTTGTCGATGTGAGACCTTCGGCATTTCTCTTCCACAGCTCCGATGTTTTCTACACCTGGATCTTTGAAATTCAAAACAAAAAATTCAAACTCCAGATTTTTCAGATTTTTAAAAATTTTCTCTCCCTTTTTTTCAAATTCTCAGAACTCTTCTCCTATTTTCCAGGAACCATCTCCTTTTATTTTTCTTTCAAAATTCCATCCCCTATTATTATTTCTTCGGAAATCCCCTCCCCAGATTTCCAGCTCCACCCCTTATAATTGTATATTCGTCCGATTGCCTTTCTTCTTCTCTTCTTCTTTTTTTTCCCAATTTCCACCCACTCTTCTTTCTACACACGTCATGTACTAATTATCCAGACACCCCCAGTCATTTGCGGCTCCCTTTCCCAAAATCTGTGTAAACATAAACAATATTTTCTCATATTTCTTGTTGTCATACCCTGTGAGAAAGTTGTTATCCCATTAGGAGAGACCATGTACTTTTCTAGTTATTACTCTGGTCCTAATTTGAAGGTGGGCGGAGCTTAGGTCCGGTAGCCAAATCCCGAAGTTCTTACTCATTTGAGGGGGCATCGTTTTTCGGGATTATTTTCTGACCTAATTTTTTGATTTTGAACTTTTTCAAAAAAAAATTCCGGAAAGTCGCTAAAAATGCATAAAAACATGAAAACTATCAAGAAGTCGATAAACAATCGCAAAAATAGACCAGAAAACAACTACAGAAACTTTTTTTTTCAATTTTTAACTTTTTTAGAAAAAACAGCAGAAAATTGCGAAAAAGCATATCTGAAAATAATTACGAAAACACATGCTCCTTTAAATCCGCCTAAAAAAATTACGCTACCAAACCTAAGCTCCGCCCACCCTCGAATTTTCGGCTGCAACAAGAAGTGAAATTACCGTAAATCCTGTAATAGAAGAGCCCCCACACTTTCAAGTTTGAGCTCAAATATACCAATTCCTGGGAAAGGTATCAAACAGTTGTCAACTGATAAAATATTTTTGAAATTATGATAAACAATTTATCAGTTGACATATCTTCAACAGAAAAGTTATGAAACAAAAGTTTACCGAAACCATCTTTAGAAAATCTCATATCTATGTTTTTACTCAGTAATCTCCGGTCCATGCACAAGATCTTTTCTCAGTTAATCTTCTGAATCTTGTCCACCCACTCATTGAAATTCGAGCTTGACAAGTTGTCTTTTTTTGACTTTCCGAGTACATATAAAGCTCCTCAAAAATAAGAAGAAGTGGGGTGTTCCTCTGAAAAAGGAACCGATTAGATTGTTGACTGGAAGGAAACTAGAAAAAGTGATGGACGTGACAGGCCAAGAGAAAAAGCGGTTTGATTAGATAAGTCAACAAGGCGAGCGAGGGATGGACGAATAAAAAGATGATGTGACTCTTCTTCTTCTCCTACTCATCTCTTTTTCCTCCCCATCTTCATACCACTCTTGTTTTTTCAGCTTCTATGTCCTTTTTTTCATCAAGAGGACTATGGTGCTTTTCGAAGAGAGAGAGAGAGAGAGATAGATACACCCCCAAAAACTCTTTTTTTTGTTTCTTTCTGTCGGTTTACATTGGTGGAAATTTTGAGATTCAGAGAGTTGAGTTGGTGGGATGGATTTAAAATTGTTTTTCATGCTTTTTTGGGTCTTTGTTTTTTAAGATAATCTGAAGATAATCCTCAAACTGTGTTGCATAATGAGCTATAAAGATTAAAAGGTAGAACAACGAAGTAATAGTTATCCTACACTGAGGAAAAGTAATAAAATGCCTCCAACAGGTTAAGTTTGAGCTTGTATATCTCGATTCCTGCAAAAGATATCAAAAAGTAGTCAACTAACGAAATTTGTATCGTTTTATGAAAAGTATTTTATCAGTTGGTTACTTAATATCTTTTACAGGAATTGAGATAAATTAACTTGAAGTTAAGAGGTCGCCAGCCGCTAAGTTGACTGTCCACTTCACTTCCCCGCTTTCAGAGGTAATCGCTAGAATTCCCAAGAAATTTATTTTTAAACCTGTGACCAGTTTAGAAGCGTTCAAGCCTAAATTGTTTTCACACTTTGGATTGGAACTTTTGGCTCGTTTTTTTGTGATTTGGGTTTTTTGAATTGACAAGAGAGATTAACGTAAAGCCTTTAAAGGTGGACTCCGACCAAAAATTTTCATTGCATTAAAATGTGTTAAAAGTTATCTATTTTCCGAATATTATTGCGAAAAAATTCAAAGAAAATCCGAAATCCCCGAAAAACGGCGTTGAAAAGGAAGACAATTCAAAAAAAGGTGCCGCCGGGGGACGAGGATTTTCAGTGAGAAA